AAAAAAAAAAAAAAAAAGAAATTCTCCCTTGGGACCAGCAGATGAGGTAATGGTTCCATCACTGGACTCCCACGTAGTTGACCATGGTTCAAATCCCAGACCTGGTAGCTTAAAACTCACACTGAGTGCATTTGTGTGTGTGTGTGTGTGCGTGTGTATGTGCCCAAAATCCTGAGAGGAGAATAAAGGAAAAGGGAATGCAGTATGGCCTCCACTCCAGGGGCGGTTTCTCATTCAAGGCCAGCAGATGGCATAATAATTACATTGCTGTACTCCCACGTAGTTGACCACAGTTCAAATCCTGGACCTGACAGCTTAAAACTCAAGCTGGGCATGTGAGCATGCATGCCTAAGATCCTGAGAGGAAAATGAAGGAAAAGAAATTGCAGCATGGCCATCCCTCCTAGGGTGGTAATTTCTCGCTTTCTGTCTGTCTCTCTCTGTCTCTCTGGCAAGCGCACAAGTTCTATAGCAAAAGCTCTCTTGACAAAAAAAAAAAAAAAAAAAGAAGAAAAACTCCTCTGGGCATGTGTGTGTGCATGCTCAAAATCCCAAGAGGAGAATAGAGGAGAGGGGATTGTGGTGTGGGCCATATACCCTGAAAGTGATTTCTCACTTTCTATCTCTGTGTCTCTCTGGCGAGAGCACGCGCCATATAACAAAAATCTCTAAATAAAGAAAATATTCCCCAAATTAAAGAGATTAAAGAGAAATGACTAGGGTGGGAACCAGCAGTTAGCATAATGGTTATGTCGCTGGACTCCCACACAGTTGACCGAGGTTTGCTTCCCGAACCCGGTGGCTTAAAACTCACGCTGGGCGCGTATGCGTGCGTGCCCAAGATCCCGAGAGGAGAACGGAGGAGAAGGGATTGCGGCGTGACCATCCCCCCTGGGAGGTGATTTCTCGCTTTCTATCTCTCTGTCTCTCTCTGTCTGTCTGGCGAGCGCACGCACCCTGTAGCGAAAACCTCTCCAAAAGGAAAAAAAAAAAAAAGAGAGAAATGACCAGGGTCAGAGTCAGGGTCAAGGTTATGAAAAAAAAAAAGAGAAATAACAACTAAATACAATAGGTGATCAATTATGAACTGGATTCTAGAATGGCAAGGGAAAAGCTACAGAAAGATATTTTTGGAAAAATGCCAAAACTGGAATATGGACTAAAATTCCTATCAGTTTTAAATTTCCTGATTTTGATAACTATACTGTGAATATATACAAGAACAGTGTCACTCCTACAAAATACATGAAGATGAAGAGTCCAGAAAAAGTATGTGTCTACATGCATGCATAATTAGAGAGAGAGAAAGAATGATAAAGCATCTGAAGAAAATGTTAACCACTGGTGAATGTGGGTAAAAAGTATTCTATGCACTATTTTCCCATACATTAAAAATTATCTGAATACCAAAAGTTTTAAAAATGATGTTAATCCATTTTCTTCTCGCACAAACTTCCTAAACTTCTGATTCTGAAAAGTTTCATGATAATCTAATGTTCTTTTTCTTACTTTCTTTCATTTTTTTAAAGGCTTTTGCTATAAAGTGCGTGTGCTCGCCAGAGAGGAGATACATGAAGAGACAGAGACAGTGAGAGACAGTGAAAAAGAAAGATATTACCCCTGAGGGGATGGCCATGCTGCAATCCCTTCTCCCCCCATCTCCTCCTGGGATCCCTGGCACACACACACACATGCCCAGCCAAACTCTCAAGCCACCAGGTCTGGGACTCAAACATGGTAGGGCATATGGGAGTCCAGCAACTCAACTATCATGCCACCTGTTGGCCCCCTAATGTTCCTTCTCTTACAAGTCATTTACTCTTTATTCGTTCAGTGCTCAAAAGGTTTGTATTTTTTTGGGGGGGAGGGGGCTGTATTTTTGAATTTGCTTTGAGGAACATGTGCTTGCCTGAGTGAGACAGACTGAGAGGCAGAGAAAGTGAAAGTGAGACATATCCTCCAGGAATGAAGGCCAGACTACAACCCCTTTTCCTCATTCTCCTTTTGAGATTCTGGTCACACACACACGCACCTGGCATGTTTCTCAAGCTGCCACACAGTTTACTGACTGCAAACCGTTTCAGCTACATGGGATACAGTACCTTAACCACACCACCTGCTGGCCACTCAAAAGATATTTTAAATGCAATAATTTTTAAAAACATGTTTTAGTGGGGCCAGCCAGTGGCATGGCAGTTAAAGCAGCTGGATTCCTCATGGCTGACTGTGTGGTTTGAGTTCCAGACTCAGTGGCTTGAAGAACACACCAAGCACATGTGTGCATGGAAGAAAAAGGTCTACAGTATGACCATCATCCATAGGGGTGCTTTCTCATTTGCCCACTCTTCCTTTCTCTCTGTTTCTCTCAATCATACATACCCTACAAGAAAGTTTAAAATAATAATAAAAAAAAATTTTTAAGAGAAAGACTTGCTATAGGGTGCATATGCTTGCAAGAGAGAAAGTAAGAAATAAATCCCTGGGGAGGATGGCCACACTGCAATCCCTTCTCCACTCTCCTCTCTGGATTTTGGGCATGCATGCACACATGATCAGCATGAGTTTCAAGCTGCCAGATGTGAGACTTAAACTGTGGTTGGCCGTGTGGGAGTTCGGCATCTTAAACATTATACCACCTGCTACCCCAATAAACTTTTAAATGAAAAAAATATTGTCTTAGTGAGCCAGGTCCATAGTGTAACATTTAAGCCCTGTGTGTACAGGGAACTAGACCCCACATGAATGACCTGCAGCTTGAAAAACACACCAGATACATGTCCTTGTGTGCCTAAAATCTTGGCAGAATGGAGCAATAGAGAAGAAGGATTGTGGCATGACAGCTCCCACTGAGGTGGAGGCTTGTTTGGTTTCACTCTCTTTGGCAAGCACACATGTCCTCTGACAAGATAAAAAGAAAAAGAAATTGTCTTGGTGTTAGTTATTTTGAATAGTCTTATAAACACAGTGTGTACTCATTAAAACTTGCATGCATTTTTAAAATTTTTAAATTGGAGCAAAGTTGTCTTTAATTATAGCCTTTAATATTTGTTCATTCAGGGTGGTTATACTAATATAAATTTTTAAATCAGACCACAGCGGACCTGTAGCCTAGTTGTTAAGGGAGCCAGATTCTATGGCCAAATCCCAGAACTAGCAGCTTGAAAATCATGCCAGGCATACATACGTGAATGCCCCAAAAATCAACAGAATGGAGAAATGGAGAAGGGACTGCCCTGTGAACACATGACACTGGGGAATGCTTTCTCCCTTTCTCTCTCTGGTAAGTAAGTACATGCACCTTTTAGTGATTTAAAAAAAAAAAAAAAAAAAAAAGGACAACTAATTTTTGAAAGTCCTATTATTGCTAGATAAAGTGATAATGATTAATGATAAAAATAATTTTTAGTTTTAGAGACTTTTGCTATTGGGCATGTATGCTCACCGGACAGAGAAAAAGAGACAGAGAGACAAAAAAGCCAAGAAATCACTCCACTGTGGGGTATGGTCATACCACAATCCTTTCTCTTCATTCTCTTCTCAGGATTTTGGGCACGCATGCACACACATTTGGTCTGAGTTTTAAGCTGCCAGGTCTTGGACTCAAACTATGGTCGACCATGTGGAGTCCAGTGATGTAACCATTATGTCATCTGCTGGTCCCTAAAAATAATGACTTATTGATTCAAATATTTATTGGTCATCCACTATGTGATAGGTATAGCTATTCCTCAAGCATAAGATATAGGAATAATGTGTCAATAAGTCACTCAGTCATCTAATGAATACTATTCCCAAAACAAACTCATACTATTAGTAATAAAGACAAGTTTATTTCAGCTTGCTCAATTTTCACTCAGGTTTATTTTACCCTTTGGCTACTATCCCACTACTTAATCTCAATGTTTAAGTGGCATAATAAAGAATTACTCTCTCCAATATATATAAAATTCAGTCTAATAAACATAAAAATCATTTTATTTAAAACAAAATGAATATTAAACACTTGAAATAAATTAATATTTATAAGTTAGCTATCTTCTCATCTTTTTTTATTTAAAGGTTTTGCCTTAGGACACGTGCACTTGCCAAAGAAAGAAAGAGATAGAGACAGTAAGAGGGAAAGTGAAAATCACTCCCTCCCCCCCAGGGAAGTGACCACATCACTATCCCTTCTCCTCCATTCTCCTCCTGAGATTTTGGGCACGCAACCACACATGCCCAATGTGAGTCTCAAGACACCACGTCTGGAATATGAACTGTGGTCGGCCATGTGGCAGTCCAGCACCTCAACCACTACTGACTTGCTGGCCCCTTCTCTTCTCACTTTTAAAAAAGTACCCAGCACTATACTGGTAGTAAAATCAAATCTGTCTATTGTGCCATGGTTACTATGCCATACAAAATTTAATACAGAAAAAAAATCTTTAAATTTTTAATATCTTAAGACTATCAAAGAGTCAGAAATAGGTAAGTTCATAATGAATATGTCTAAATAGATTACAGAACAACCATTTGAACAAAGATAATTATCTCACCATCTCTAAAAGAATAGCTTGAGTTTTAGCCTCTTTTTCTGCCTTTATTTCTTCTACTTCTTCAGCTGATCTTCCTTTGAAATCATCAATTTCTTCATCTGCTCCTATTCGACCACTCTGTAATGCAAAAGTTGTCAATACATATTCTTACAGAATAAGAAATCTGAGCAACATAGAAAACATTATACTTTATTCTTAGTTCTATTAAACATGTTAAGGGTAGCAAGTGAAACAAACTTACAAGCTCTGAAAATTTATTTAAATTAGTTCTAGATTAGCCAAACTAAGCTTCTGATTTATTAAAAAATCAAAATAAACTTTAGTATGTTTAGAAACTGTCTGTTATCCAACTAAGTGCTGAGTGGAGAAGATAAATGTTCTTAGAATTAAACCCAAATCTCAACCATAAACATAAACTGGGTTTTGAAAAAGCCTCATAAACAGAAATTTATATTTTAAAATATCTGGAAAAAAGCCACACTGTTCCTCATAAGTTCTTGGATTCTAAGCTGGCTTGAGTATTCTGAGTTGAAAAGTTGCCTCACAAGGTAAGAGATTAATTTGGTCTTGAAGTTATGCTCCTAACTATAGTTAAGTGATAAGAAAAATGTTTTCCCAAGGTACTCATAGATAAGACCGATCTGGTGGAACAGAAACTGGAAAAGAAATGAGAGAAATGAAAAGATGGCATTAAAAATGAGTATCTCTGTGGAAGAGAAAAAGAACTCTAAACTTGTCCTAATAGAATTGATGAAGTGAGATAATCACTCCAAAGAAATAAATTTTAATGGACTAAAATGCTTAATCCATGCAAATCATTAATATGCATGCATATTGACTCAGAAGATGGGTCTACTTACATCTAACTGTTCCCTCGTGGGTTCTGGTGATCGATCAGGAATTAATAAATCAGGAGGATCATCAAATGGATCATCTAAAATCACTGTATGATTTATCCTTACAAAAGAAATTCAAGTGTTATGGTTAGGTTAATTCAGAATACCTATTTTAATTTCATAGGTCATACTTGATCTTAGCTGTTATAATAAAGAAGTATCTCTAATGCCAAGGAAACTACATTGCACAGGACATTACTAATCCAGAGTATACTTTTATGTTCTTCACAGTTTGATATATTTTTTAGTTGTTGTTTTCTTTTTTTTCCTTACCTGCCAAAGGGCATGTGCACTCATCAGAGAGAGAGAGAGAGAGAGAGAGAGAGCGAGAGAGAGAGAGAGAGAGAGAGAGAGAGTGAGAGAAACAGGAAGAAAGCAATTCGCAATGGGGAGTGGTCATGTTGCAATTCCTTCTCCATTTATCCATTCCACCATGATTTTGAGAATGCAAGCACATGTGCCTAGAATGTTTTTCAAGCCACTGGGGCCAAGATTCATTCTGTGCCTGGACATATGGGATCCAGCTCCCTTAACCACTGGACTACAGGGTTAGCTCAATATCACATTTATTTCTCAGCATTGCTTTAAGATATATAGTAGTATAAGTATCTAAATATTGGTACTTTTGTCCTACTTGTCAATAATCTGTGTTTAAAAGAAAAAATACTAAGTTAAAGCACTAGTAATTCCTTGCTACATAAGCAATTATAAATAATTAGTACAAGTATAATAATTTAGAGGTCAGCAGGTAGCACGGTGATTGGGGTGCTGGACTCCCATATAGCTGACCGTGGTTCGATTCCTGGACCTGGTGGCTTGCTTTCTCACTTTCCCTTTCTCTCTCTCTCTCAGGTCTACTTAAAAATAATACTAACAAATAAAATTAAATAAATAAAATAATTTGAGACCAGCAGTTAGCGTAATGGCTATGTCGCTGAACTCTCATGTAGCCGACC